TTTGTCGCAATAAGTTCTGGGATAATTTATTGTTCAACAAAACTGTTATTATGACAGGTCTACGAGTGACACACAACATTTGCACATTGTGCAAAAGAAACCAACAAAAAAACATCATCCTCCAACTACTTCCTGTCTTCTTTGTCGTTTTCACCAGTAGTAACATCCGAAAACGTAATCTGAAAACATGATTTTTTTATCTTTATTGTCATATTTCAATTAAGCCAGTTTATTTTCATGATTTCAAGTTGCACAATTTTATCATTAATGGAAACACAGTTACAGGGTTACACCAAGTGTCGTCTGGCCTCCAAGCCTCTGTCTGTGTGACTGCAGTCAGCTCAGTCAGTGTGGAGGTTTTACCCCCACCTGAGCGACCCCAACCAAAGGAACTGTGCGAAAGTTTACGGGAGGTCAGGTGACCCCCACCAACCCCTGATTACAAAGCAATCTCCAGCTGTGCGATGTGTATCCACTATATACTGATCCATAAACACACCAAGCTGCACAAAGAAGCCTCACACTGACCAATCACGTCGGTGTATTATTCCCCCTTCACTGGCCTTGAGTCACCTTTGCTCCCACCATGGGCAAAACACAGACCTGCTGATTGCGATCCACCTGGAGTCTGCAATGATAGGCTGGGGGGAGAGAAGGGGAGTACCAATAAAGAAAGGAATGTGCTTCTGTAGTCCAAGGGGATTATTTCCATACGTTTCCCCCCCTCTGCTCTACACACCTGGAGGGATTCCTGCATGTACTCCAAAGAGTGTTTCTACTCTCTGTAATCCGCTTTGTTGATTTTGGAAGCAGCTCAGCGCTTTGTTTCAGTCAGATTTATGAAGGCAGGCCGGCCCTGCAGTCAGAGGCTTTACTTACACGCACATACAGTAGCTTCTCTGATCTGATTTCATTTTTCACTTTTGTGCTTCTTTTTTTTTTTTTGTGCTTATGCGATTTAAAGACAAAGTGGGTTATCTTGTGGCTAACAAGACCACCACTTGATAAGGTCTGGGACTTGATTTCTCCCCAAGGGTGTTTTCATGTTAAATCTGTGCAGATGTTTAAGTAGATCCATGTCAAGAGAGAGCGGAGGAGTTTTACTAAACCAGTTGCTATGGTTATAGAAAAAAAAATTAAAAAGATAAGAAGAGCAGAAATAAAAATGGATCAAAATGACAAACAGGATAAAAAAAAACCTCTGTGTTGCCACTAGAGGTGAATCTAGGGCCGAATTTACATTGATGTGGAGCCCTGGGCTGAAACTCGTTCTGTCCTCTAAATATTACTATTGCTAATGCTAATGATGCTAACTGCAGTACATTTATATGTTCTATATATAACCAGTTATGAACTGATACCAACTGATTAGGTTAATGCATCCCTTGACTAATAGCACCATGTTGTTTCCCCCTCCAAAAAAACCCTGTAATTTTTCAAATACTTTGGGATTGTTTATATGCACAAAACAGCCCAGATATTATAACAACTCACCTGGTATTAGTCTATTACACATAATCACACAATGTTCGCAAACATGCATTCATAAAAAAAAAAAAAATCTGTGAGCACCCCAAATAAACTGTAGCCCTGGGTTACCGCCACTTTAAGCCCTTTCTAAGGTCCAAAGCCCTTTCACTGCCCAAGGGATTTCTTGGGCAGGTTGCACCAAGAAATCACTAAATACACCAATCCAAGTACCACTTAACTGCGCTGACAACACTCTTCCATGTTGAAGTTACAGAGGGAACTCTGTAACAGTTAGACCCATTTACTGTTTTCAGAAAAAATTTGATGTTTAATATGCTCCTATTAGCTCAAGAGCTAATAGAGAAAAAAAATCCTTCAGGCAAAACAGAGACTTTTGTAAACTTTAGTAAAAATTAATAAAAGATTAAGCTGCTCTCCTTTATCCATGTGATGACTTCAATTCTAACAGGAAATTCAGGGAAGGAATAGTTTATAATGCTACTGGGCATACACACCTGATAATTTCCCTCACAGATAAAATAAGGTGCTAAAACCTGTTTAAAGCGTAATTTCCAAAATCGCATCTTTGCTTTGAACTATTAAATCCTGTGATGTCATTAGGCTCTTCAATAACTGAATGAATGATTCAATGATATGTTAAATAAGGATTAATACATTCATATATTAAGCTAACTATTGTTATTTTGAAGTTACTTTGAAGGGATAAAGCTGAGTACCTACAGTGCTACATTCTGAACAGTGAAATAGAAGCTTTTTTTTTCTTTACTCATTATCATTTTGTACAGCCTCATCTGTCCCAGACAGCGGCGCCGATTGCTTCGGCTCTGTGACGCTGGCTTGTGACATAACAGTTTCATTAACGTGTAACGTAACATATAAATTAGATCCATTTTCAATTCATCCAGAAAGCAGAAATATTAGTTATAGTTTCTCATACATAAGAATCAGGCCAAAATCTGATATGAGGGGAACAAAATCTCTGATTAGCACAGATATGACTAATAATTCACTCTCAGTTGATTTTTACATTTAAAAACACATGCAGGGAGTACTAACATGAAGTGGCATGACTTCACGTTTGAGGTGATCAAGCAAAAATCAAAATCAAAAACTGTATGTCCAGACAAATTATTTCATTTGAAACAGCTTAAACATTTTATGTGTCCAAGATACTTAATGCACATAAAATAACACGCACTGAATTTTGCAGACTGAAGTTTTTGACCATGAATCAAATAATCAGACTTAGTTTGTTCTTGAAAACATTTCTTTACAGAAACGCAAGTCAAGCACTTAAAAATGATATAAGTTTCGACCATGTACCACTGCAACACCCATAATATCAGATATTTACTGAAGACGGATCTGGACAAGATTCCACTATGTTTACCACAAAACAGAGGCAACAATCCCCCTTCAGCTCAAAATAAAACCAGATTTAAGTTCTTAAAGCAAAGGTAAAAGCAGACTACCCTGGAGGCACTGACTGACCAACAACTTCTCCTGGATCTGCTTTTCCACATCCCCGCAGGCCTCCAGGTTCAGGAATCTGTTAATAACAGGACTTAACGAGTCTGCATGGGAACAGGCAGCGCTCATGGAGGTGGAAACGGCGAAACATGTGAGAGACAGCCGAGTCGGGATCCTGCCCGAGAATGCAGCAACAGGGGGAAGTTGTATTCCCAGAAAGCCTGACACAGATCTGTACTCCTCCTGTGGCACCTGATTATATTCATGTACAGGGACGCGCATTTCCTTCTTTCAATGTATTGGCGCCCGCCACGGGGAAAAAAAACAAAACAGAGCGCTCGCTTGCACCCAGATGAAAAAAAAAACATATTTGGCCTTATTCCATGCAGTCCTTGCATTTAATGCGCAGACGTGTCGCTCAGCACACAGCATGCCCCTCGTTAAAGCCCGGCTTGTCAGGCTGCAGCTTCCCCGCATTGAGACAGCAGCTCTTAATGAGCCACCCAGGACTAATTCATTCAAGCAATAACATTTCGCAGGTGTGTCTTTCGGTCTGAAAACAGGGGCTCCGCATATTTGTTTATTTGGATTTTTTTCATTTAACCCCATAAACACTTCTGTTGACGTCGACTTAAGATGTTAATGTGTCACATAAAAGCAGTGCTGACGAAGATACCCCTCGTCCGCCCAGTCGGGAGGAGAGAGACATCTTGGAGCTTACCAGAGAGCATGACCGATGCCTTCGAAGGTCTTCGTGGTCCTCCGTAGCAAAAACCCAGCGGGGCAGAAACATTCCCGCGGCAGACCACAAGACAGAAATAAAATAAAATCCCCTTCGGTGGAAAAACAAAGATACAATTATCAAAAAAAGAGGAAAAAAAGGGGGGGTTGGAAATTCGTCGCGCGCCTTTTAAAGATAAAAAGCCCTCCGTTCACGGCGGCTCCGCGTGCCAATTGTAATTCACCAGCAGCCTCGCGACCTCCGCTGCGTCGGAGCCGCGCGCATCTCAGTGAGCGCCGTCTCTTCTCCGCGAGAAGAAAGCGCCCCCTTCTCCACCGAGGTACGGAGGAGCCGCTGGTCTCGCGGCCAGCTGGGACGCTGCTGTCACAGCGCGCAGGCCCCTCCCAGATGTTCCCTACATCCCGGTGACACTAATGTCACCCAGTGGAGACGGAAAAGCAGGAAGAGCGAATTGAAGAGATTTTCCTGCTTTCCCTTCTTAGTTCAAGTGACATTAAATGTGTGTTAAACTTAAATACATTGTTGCTAGAAATAGTTATTACATAGCCTATTCTAAAAGTAAAATTGTATTATTTTTTTTACATATTTACATCATGAGCATTGCTACTTTGAAAAAGTAACTGAGTCACATTAAAAGTAGCTCTTTCAGTTACTTCCAGCAGCTGCTAACGATAATGCTCCACCGCCTGAGAAAATCACATTGATCTTTGCCAAAACTCAACTGCAAGTGATTTTGTAATTTATTTCCACTTATATGCTTGAACTGAAGGGGAGATTGTTTAATGGTTACAATAGTACAAAAAAAAAAAAACGTTAGTAATTTTTGCGTGTTTTTGTGTGTCCCTATATTATCTGGAAAACTATAAATGGGATTTTACTCTCATTTACTGAAAAAAGTGGTCCGACTTCAGCAACTAAGAGCATGTACCCTATTATTGACATTTCTGGTCATGAGACAGTATGAGGTGGCCAGCATGGCTCTGCAGACAAACAGTTTTTCTTACAAGAAAATTGACGGCATTAAGCCCCTCCTCCTGGCTCTGATTGGTTGTTTTTGACCGGGAGCAGTGCGTTTATTCAGCACTGGGAGGAGGTGGAGGACCTCTATCCTTTCACAGATTTTCTGACTTATCTTACACCTTTGCGTAGTTTTAACACACCAGAAAGAAAACTAGATTTTTAATAAGTTACATAACCCAAAAAGTGTAGATGTGTAGACGGCACAAAGTGTAGACGGGTGTGACGGAGATGGACGGTAAGATTTAGGCACCTCTGGTAACTTGTACAGCAAGCAAAGTCACAATTTCATCCTTTTATTAATAACAGAAAAACATTTTCTGTCTCCAAGTACAATAATTAATCCAAATTGAGCACAATAAGTTCCTCGCTCTCATGATCAGAATACATGATCCATAGAAAAACCAACAACTACATTTTGGGTACGGATTTCTTTTTTTTAAAGTCTTTGATCCAACTCTTCAAATATGATTTCTTCAGTTGACTAAATTACAATAGAATTTTAAAGCATCAAATATACACAAGGTAATTGAAGAAAACATGATAACCAAAATACATATATATGTTGAAAATGCATAAAGTTTCACATTGTCAAAAAAGTCACTGAGTTATTCCACAAACATCCCAAAGCAGACGGCAGGGGCAACGGAAAAAAATAAAATAAATGAAAAACAAAACAAAAAAGAGATCCGATTGTTTCAAATTCTATTAAATAATTTTAAATATTTCTATTAGTCATGGTTGCGAATGAGGGGGAACAAAATAGAGTCTAAAAAACTCAGCTTCAGGTTTTTGAACAGCACCATCTGCCTGATGATTGGACTCCATCAGCACCTTCATTCAAGGGCATTTCTCTGGAGTACACACACACACGCACGTGCACACGTACACACACACACACACAGGAAGTAAACAGGCCTTCAGAACAATTACATACAAATGTCCTCAACTTCTGACGTTATGCTACCCTTTGTGCAAAAAACATCTGGCAGAGCCCCTCCAAATTAGAATCTTTCACGGGTTTTTCCATTTAAGTTGCACATTGTTCAGCTTAAATGTGACAACTGCAAACATCTAAAAAAAAAAGAAAAAAAAAATTCCCACTCTGTTTCCGGGTCAGGAAGTGACCGGACGAGATTATAAGATGGAGAGGTAGTGTTTTGCTTCTTTCAGGAGCAACTCACTCACTGCCAAACCGCTAACCAGTTTTTTTAAAACACATTCTTATTTGACGAATTTGCAAGTTTCTTCCTCCCGACGGCTGAACTCACGCCGGCTTTCTCCAACTCACTGCATACGTCAAGGGGAAGGGTGCTGGAGACATTTCAAAAGACAAACCCGACGACAATCAAACGATTTCTTGAAAATAAAAGGATTGGAAAGAAAGAAACAAACAAACAAAATAAACTGCTACATGACAAAGGAAGCGTGTTGGTCGATTCGTACCGAGAATGTCCCCATTTGTATCCTTCGTGACAGCAAAGGATGCAAAGCAAATTTGCGTGATCCACAATAACAATGTCATGCTGTAAATAATCTCTGCGGGAGGCGATCATGATTTTATGTTTACTTGCCTCCACAATAAGATGCTATTCTAAAATGCAATCAATCATCGGTAAAGTAAGAGGGTAGGAAACAGAAATGAGGGTGAGATAATAATGTGACAGACTGGCAACTCAAACTGCCCAATTTGCAAATCTATTTTTTTTCCAATCAGAATCCAACTGCTGTTTGACTCAGTTATTTTTAAACAAGCGCAGAGACCAAAGTTGCCAGCGAGAAAAACTGTCTAAAGTATCAATTTGTCAGAGGACTGACTATACAAATATGTAATAGTAGTAATAGAAGAGGGGCTATTTTTTTCAAGTAAGAGACAAATGCATCATGGGACATAAAAATACATAATCCCACACACCGCCACACAGTTGTTTAGAAAAAAAAAAAAAAAAAAAAAAAACACCAGTGTGAGAAAAATGTAAAAAAAGATATATATATATTTATATTTATGTATATTTACACACTTATACAGCTCCTGGAATTCCTTTGGCGATTTTCAAAAAGGTAAAACTTACTATCACAGTCCAGAGGTAAGTCTGTTAAATTGTCTCATCTGTACAATATAGTGAAAAACAAAACAAAAACAGGAAAATGGCACAAAATCAAAAACAGAAAAAAAGAACAAGTCACTGCTGCCATCCAGCTGTTTTTTTCACTCTCTGTGATGGATTTGAAGTTCTTGAAGTGCTTTGCAGCTCGCGCAGGTCCGCTCGCTCTTTTTGATCAGGAAGTCGCACGTGGCCGCCCGCTCCAGCACGATCGGCCCTTTGGCGAACGACGACTGCTTCGTGGGGAGTCCCTGGCACACGACGAACCGCTCCAGAGACAGCAGCAGGCTCACCACGTCGGTGGCCGTGCCGAGCCGCGACGGGTGGATGTCGTAGAGCGGGTGGATGGGCAGCAGCGGCTGCTTCTGGACGGTGACCTGGTAGCAGAAGCCCGGGTCGATCAGCACCATGGTGTCGGCCATGTTGGACTGCTTGGAGCACTGGATGAGCTGCAGCTGCGGGCCCTCCACCATGATGGCGTACCAGAGGATGGGCAGCACGGAGGAGCGGAGCGAGTGGAGCAGCTTCATCAGCTGGTTTTCCAGGTCCATGCCGCTCTCCGCCGGATTCTCAGCCAGGCTGAAGATCTGCGTAATCTGTGGATGATCCGAGGAGTGAATAACACGGGAGTATTTGGTGAACGCGTTGGAAAAAATAAAAAATACATGCCGGACTCTCACCATGGGAAATTCATCCTCGTCATCTTCCATGTGCTTTGGGGCATTTCTGCCTGTGAGCGATTTCTCTGTATCCCACTGACTGTGATGGTCCTTCAGTAATAAACACAGTCTGATGAGTTAAAACCGTTGAGCATAATGAAGCATTATCTCACAAACACTTTCAAGAAAAAAGAAACATGAAGGAAAGTTTATCCAAAAAAAAGTAGGGATGCATGATATATCGGCAATGACATTGTGGAAGTTTCACGCAGTGATGTAGTATCGGTAAGTATCGGTTATTGTCTGTAACAAGAATATTAACATTGGATACCAATATCGGTCCAAATTTTCATATTGGTGAATCCTAGGGATCGGACGATACAAGAGTTTACATCAGTCTATATAAATCATTGTTTATCAGTTTTATCTGCTGCTGCACAAGTTAATCAACAGCAGGCTGTTGCTAGGTAACCAAAGAGTGAGTGAGTTGGAGGATGGCAACAACGTTTCTTAGCTGGTCGGGAGAGGCTGAGCGGCCAGGAGCCTTTCCTCTGCCTACATCCCCCAGAATGCAGTGCGGTTCTGGATGCGAGTTCAGGGAAATTCTAGAGTACTCTATCAGACATATTATCTATTAATATAGTGTTATTGATTTATTGCCCAGCTCAAGATAAGCAACTCTAAAGTAGTAAACACAGTGCTTCTTAATTATGACAGACATTTATGGAGAAAAAACATCCAATCAGAGAGCAGGAGACCACGCTGATCTTACTTGCAGACCAAATTCTGAGCCAAACAACCATTTATTTTGTTCTGTTTTTACAGAGATGGCCCAGCACCAATAAATCAATTGGTGATCAGCTCAATCAGCTCTGACTAGTTCAAAGCTTAACTGGAAACCCTACAACAATCTTGATTAGTCTGTCCCTAGTTATGAGGTCAACAACAACAACAACAACATCGGCTTTCTGATGCTCTGGTCTCCAAGAGATGTGTGTGTATTAGGCGGTCACTGTTTGAGCGCGTTGCACTTGTCCTGGTCCTGCAGCTTAAAAAGCTCATGAATGTTTACAGTAACATCATGTTTTCATCTGATTAGATGACTCGTAACATCTTACCGCAATAACAAAAACTGAAGGACGGCCAAGAAAAGAGGGATGACAGCAGAATCGGATTACCTTTTTGTGGGGGATGGCTCGCTGCCATGCGCTCAAAACAGCCTTTGATTTCAACAGAGTACAAACGTGCGGCCAGTTTGCTCTAATGAACCGTTCTCTCATTCCGGCTGTCTTTCTCTTCATGCTTATTTTTGAGCTAACTAGCAGATTTAACAAACGATAAGCTTGTGACTGGTGTTGGCAGGTAGCCAGCTTCATTGTCCTTTGGCCAGCAACTCAAAAAAAAAAACACAACCCCCTTTGGTGTAGAGATTGTTACAGAAGGAAAAACTGAAAACTAGTATCAGTATCAGCGAGATGCTTAGGAGCTCATAAAAAAGAAACACTGAGTCTGTGATTTATTCAGGTCGCTAAGTACAGCAAACATTTTCCATTAGATTTTTTTTTTGTTTGCTTTTTAAACTCAGTTCTGAAACATCCTGCATTTGGAAATGTTGTCAGCTTTCTAGAAATCTCAAATGCTGAGGATCTCTACTTTACACAGTTGCATACACAAAGAGCGTTTTTTTTCAAGCAATGCGACCCGTCCCACCTTTAAGATGCTAGATGCTAGCCGCTAACGTAAGCTGCTAAAGTCAGCTTAAAATGTCAGCTTCGTGATGACGTAATCATTTTAAAAGAACGTCATGTAACTGGACAGAAACGTTTCACAGACAATGACATACATCACAATTTGATTGTAGTTGCTAAAACAATAGTTTAGCTTATGCAGCTCAGTTCAAGCTATTACTTAAAAATGAAAACTTACTGGTTGGGAGTAGTTATGATTGCTGATGTGAGGGAATCGATCCGGCATGCCGTTCCGCACCCCAAAATCTGAATGATTCAGCTGGCGAAACACAAAACAGATTTATGTTGTGTTTGCTTGGGAGTCCATGCATCAAGGTCAAGGCCAAATATGGCCCGCTATAGCCATTTATGTGGCCCTCGTAGACTGAAGAGGGCCACAGCTTTTTAAGATAAACGATGTTAAATATTATCTAAAAAGTACTCAGCAAACGCAGAGAAAATGGTAACATTTTAAGCTTTATCACAACTTATCTAACGTTGACGAGATCCAGATGGGAAATTAGCAACAGTGTTTCCAGCCAAAGCCCTTCGAAACTCACCGGTTGAGGATTGCTGTCCTCGTCGTCGTCGTCGTCATCGTCGTCGGTGTAGTCCATGTCAGCCTGCTGATCTTGGCTTCTCTTTAAGCTGGACTTGCGGCTGTACGTGTAGTGAGGCCTCGGCCTGCCGGGCATCAAAGGGGCATCTAGTCCCAACTCAGCTCCTGCCATCTGGAAGGGCAGCAAATGTCTCTGGGAAATAAATGTGCAGTTGCTTTACTATGACACGGTTTGGGCAGGTTTCACCAATTCAAATTTAAAGACCACCGTGAATGAAATTTAAGGCCTGGATTATGTCAAAATTGGCCTAAGCCCCAGTAGTGCTAAGAGTTTTCACCCACTGAATGGGTCGATAATGGACTGCCAATGGCAAAGACGAATGTCATCCAGCCATCTGACAATACATTTAACTTAAGCAAAATGTAATGTTTATTGCTTGTTTCATAAATAGTGACTGTATGGTGTTTTATGACTTAAGCACTTTGAACTGCCCTCTTACCGACATGCCATATTTATAAATAAACTCGACCACGATAGACGCCAGCTTGCTTTTTTCGTAACTAGCTAATGATTCTCTTCCCTCCCGTTTCCACTGCACGAAACATAACCAATGATCCATGATACCTTAGCTGCTGATACACTTATGCTAGCTAGCGGGCGTATATTAGCAGCTAGGTACCAGAAGCACCAACCGCCTCAAGTCACAGAACGAAACAAATGAGCAACTCCATCCATCATTTGCCTGACAGAAAAAGCAAAAAAACAATTAACTTGTATAATCCTGACAGAACAAAATTTAAGACCTGTGATTAACATATTTAAGACCAGCTTGGATTTTAGTTATACTGGTTGATCTGGTTTTGTATAGCAGTATGTATTGTTTTGCGTTCTTTGCACAGTTCTTAAATGAGAGTCAGGACGGGGCTTGTTCATCTTTACAGGAGAGGTTTTTCATTATTATTATTATTAATATTTTCCTTTTCTCATTAGTAATTTCAGTGCGTTGTATATTTCTAATGAAAACCTTTCACTAAACTGACATATGTGATGTTAGGACATATTAAGGCATTTTTAAGGACGCGCAGACATGTTGTACAGAAATGTAAAATCATCTCATTGCACAAGTGTCTTACCATCGCTTGCCTTTGACACTGTCGTAGACGACACTTCTGCCTTTTCTTGTTGCTGCCTCCAAATTTGGGCTTGTCTACGCAGAAATCGCACACGCCGCAGTCTTTCCTACACAGACAGGCCTTACACTCGCCACAGGAACGTCGCTTCCGCTTTTTATGCCACTAGAAACAAAAGTGAGAGGAGAGAAATCCAAAATTCAAGAACGCAAACTGGAAACATGATTTCACAATTTTTTTTCGGGGGGGGGAGGTATCCGTTTTATGAACGCCTTGAAAATAGAGCCTCGTTTGCGAGTGGAGGTCGGTAATATTTTCTTCTAAAATGGCAACAGACGGAAGAGCGTTCAAGCACAGTCAGCAGTCTGGTCAAACAAGAGTTGTGTGCTCAGTTTATATCAGCCATATTGAAAATAGTGGAAACGGCAACGCTTCAGCAACAATCCACTGGACGAAAACACTGAAGACTGCTCAGAGTTTCTGCTCTCCCGCAAGTGAAAAAATAACAAATCTAATTTCAAAAGCAGATTTTAATTGGTCAAAGTCAAAAGGTTGTGAAAAAGTAATTTCCCTTTTGATTTCTTCTGTTTTATTGTCTGTTAAAATTATGCATTTCAGATTATGAAATTACCTTTATCATCAGAAGAAATACAGGTGTTGACATATAGTGATTTTATTTATTAAAAGAACAAAAGCTACCAAAATAAAAAACTCCCAAAAAACCTAACTAGACTAAATAATGACCACTGCTTCTCATAGCTTTCAAATTGATCAATTTGCAGAAAAATGACCAAAAACACAGAGGCTGTGTGTGACAAACTGTCAGCTTTTGCTGCTTTCCCTGCTACCGGGACTGATTAGCAGACATCACATGCATTTCCTAACAACTAGCCATGACCTCCGAGATGTTTGAGAAGCTTCCTGCACTCGGTGGCAACAAAACAGCACAGCACCAACGGGAAATACCCAGGACAAACTTTGGTAAGCATCATCAAAAGGCAAAAACAAAACATGCTCACGTCATCGTCGTCGTCTGTCGACATGTCGTCTTCGTCGAGGTCCACGTTCGCCGAGAAGTTCTCAGTGTCGCTGCTTTTCAGACTTGGATGCTACGTGCGGGAAAATGCGGTGGGGTTCCTCACTGGCAGTTTTTCATTCAGGTAATGTGTGTGAAACATGAGTGCACCGATTGCAGTTTTAAATATTGGTGATCGACTCACCGATATTTAAAAACCCGGTTCAAATTTTGACCAATGCCGTTTTTTGTTGTTTTTTTTCTCCGCCGCCTGAAAAGCCGCAAAACAGAGCGAAAAAGTCGCTAAGTTGTCAACATCAAAACATTTTTGAATTTTGAATCGACTATTGTTAAGCGAGCATGTGCAGATGTGACCAGATGTTTTTCAGGCAGCCGTCTCTCCACGCAGAGGGAAAGGAGACGGTGATTTTGAGACCTTTGCGGTGGTGGATGAGATCGGTTTGTCAAATCGGATGATTTTGCAAAATTAAGGGAATCAGTGCACCCTCAGAGTAAAAAAAATAATAATGTAAGCGCAAATTGCAGTACAAAAAGAGTTACCTGTGACTCTGTGACATCATTCTGTACATTTTCCAGAGAAATAAAAAAAAAATAAAAAAAAACAATTACAATAAAACAGTTGGCAAGGGAAATGTTTTAGAGTTGTTCTTTGGAGACTTACACTATCTTCATATGTGTCAACAGGGTCAACAAAAGATCTCTTGTAAGTTACATTTATGCTTCCTGGGCTTTGCTGTAAAAAAACAAAAAAAAAAAAAACATTACATCAATTGAATTTTAAACAAATTCAGCTGAGACAAACTCTGCACAAGTGTGCTTGCAAGCCTCTGTCAGCTCACCTTGCGTATCGGACATATGCACCTGCGTTTTCGACACAGGCGTTTTCTAGCTTCGGGGCTTTGCAGGCTGTGCTTGCAGTTTGCACACTGACCGCAGTCAATGGCGTTGTGACATCCCACGCACTGTCCACAAGGAATCCACTGACAGCCCAAGAAGAAGAAAAAACAAAAAAAAACAAAAAAAAAAACAGACGAAAGGGTTTTTTTTCTCTGAAAGACTTGAATAATAGAAACTAATAAAGGGCTACATTAAAACGTTATGCAGACTGAATGAACTTCATCAGCTAAAAAGCTGCAGCTTGTCATCTGGCGATACTCTACCTTCCTGAAGCGGATCAGCGGGTGCTCTATCGACTTTGATGTTGCTGAGATTGAAAGAAAAATTGAAAAAAATAAATAAAAACGCATGAAAATGCTTTTGTAACGTGTTTTATTTCTGAAAATATTACTAGTTACACACTCCTACAGACACATACCCCAGCAGGAGGGACAGCAAGGCCGCTTTCTTTGTTTGTCATACCATGTACCTGTAAATGAAATACCACACTTTGCACAGATCCTGTGGAGAAACAGGGCGACATTAATTCACACTCGCTGTAGTGACATGCATAAACACGAGACAGATAAAAGTCGCACACGGGGCCGGCGGAGGCCCCGGGATCTCAGAACAAGAAGAGCACAAAACCTGGACTTTTTGTCCGAGCTCATTGTCTGAACGCCAGATAACACGCGTGGAAGTGTCTCTTAGATCAGACTCAACAGTTTGTTTTCCAAAATCTTTTTTTTCCCCCTTTATCTCATTTTGTTTAATTTCGACATCCAGAGTTATCCATAACTTAGTAAAATGATAACATGATAATATTACAGGATGACTTGTGGATGTGAGAACATCAGGCAGTCTTTGCTAAAAATCGCTGAAAAAACTTACAGGACAAAAAATTTAATAAATATATGTAAAAAATATGAGTCCTCAATACGTTTACGAAGCCAGTTTAAAAAAAAAACAAAAAACAGTAAGCTGTGTTTAGCTACGAACTTACAGGTAGGCCTGTCGCAATAAGCAATGAATGAATAAATTAAAGCAAACTCAATAATTTCTACAGTCTGGTGCTTTGATCTCAACTAGACAAGTTTTTTTTTTTTTTTGAAGTACAATTTTGTTTAGACGCTTCACGATCTTTGAAAACGTCTTCTTGCATCATTACACCGTTAGACTACTTGAAAAATATGGTCCCAAAACAACGCCATCGTTTGTCGCAATAACTTCAGGTGACGATTTATCATCCAGCAGAGAATTTGTTATCGTGACAGGCCTACTTACAGGGTGCTCTCTTCCGATCCGAATTCTCCCTTGATCGAAGGCAACGAGAGCGGACGAGACGACGAGGGGAAGGGGAGCCGGATTTTTTCCTCCGACTGCTTTTCCTCGGAGTTGGGGCTCTGCTTCGACTCCCCCGTCGAGCTGTTCAGCGAGACGCTCGTCTGGTTGCTGTGGAGGTTCCTGGGCGTGATGTTCGGAGTCAGCCGGTGGTGAGAGTCTGGAGTCTCTGCCCCGTCTCCTCTGTCCATCCAGCTGGACTCTGAGGAGGACCGGTCCCGGTAGCGCTTCTGAAACGTGCGGGAGCGCAGCGAAACGTTGCAGTTCTCTTTTGAGATGTGTTCGAAATGGTTCAAAATCAATAAAAAAGTTTTTAATACCTTCGTTCTGGGTCGACCTCTCGCTGGTGGGATTTCCCCTTCCACGAACTTGCCGCTCTTGTACTCAAACTGGGTCAAGTCGGTTCCCTGGAGCACTGTGGCTAGTTCTACTCTGCTCCTCACTCGTTCACCCCAGGGACTGACAAGGAACACAATTAAAGCCACTGAAAGAAATCTGGTTGAAGTGTCATTCGGGGGTTCTGTTGCTGTTAAAAATCAAACCAAAAGGGTGTGTGTGTATATGTGTAAATATATATATGATACATGCAGTGGCACACAAAGACATTTTGGGGAGCAGGTGCTCCAGTGGGAGAAAGGGCACCTTTTCCAGAAAACAAACAAACAAATAAAAATAACACAGTTAAAAGTAAAGCAGCTGCTGGCTCATACATACCTGAGATAATACACGTCCTTCTGGCCGACGCTGGAGCCTGAGCGTCGAACAACCTCTTTGCGCTTCCAACCTTGTCCGAGCACCGGCCACTCGACCCATCCCTCTTCAGGATGAGCGCGCTTACGCCGATACCCGTAAATCCTAGAAATAGAAGAAGAAAAAGAGAAGAAAAACATGAAAACAAGTAAACAAAAACAAGTCAATGTTTGGTGGAATTGAGAAAAGAAATATGAACCCACTGATAGAGATATCTTGTGGCTTTCTCGCTGCCCGCAATGCTCTCCGTCTCTCCTGCCAGGCTTTCCTCATCTGGATCATCATCATCATCCTCCAGCGGCTCGAACCAGTCCACTGGAGGCTCGCCGGTGGGCTTTTCCTCCTCCTCCTCTTTGGGCTCCACTGGGGTGTTTACAACAGGGCGCAGGCTTATCTCGGCTGCCTCCTTGGGGTCATCCGAGGGTGCTGGTGGTTTCTCAGAGGGGTGGTCTGTTGAGGGACTCTCCCCGGTGTCTTCCCCCTGGTCCTCCTCGTCCTCCTCCACTGCCTCACTGGCAGGGAGCTTCGCCTCTCCTGCTGCTCCTTCACTCATCTGTGCGCCGAGGAAGGGCCACAGAGAATCCAACGAGTCTTCCCGCAGACAGAGAATTTCTTCTACAGTTGCGCGGGCATCCCATTCAGAGTGCTCTGTTTTTGACGCTTGACTCCCGAGCCTGAAGGGGTTTGGCTAACAGAAATAAATAAAGAAAGACAGAACAAACGGGGGAGGCGGTTTCAATAGGGGCGAAGAAGGTCGTATTCCAGTATAACGCAAAGTCGGCGCGTGCTTTGACGAGACGCCGTTCGCCACGGAAGGCTACAAGGAGGTTTAGTTAACGGTTAATTAGCTTGCAACGGTTTGCGGCTATTGTTAGCCGCCGAGCACAACGTTAGCCGCACAAACAAGCGAGCGCCCGTTCCGCACAGAATGCACCGACTCCCGGCTACTCTGTCCGAGTCGCCCATTTACGGCAAACCCCCCGCAATGTAGCGAACAGTCACACAAAACTGCAGGTGCACCAGGCGGATAGAAACATTTGCTGATAGCGGGGATGACGTTAGCCACTGCTAGCTGTAGCACCGTCTGGTGGTGCTCTGCTGTGCTGATATTCATCAACCACTGATGTGTTTATCAGCTGTTTTTTTTTTTTTTGTCGTCACTCTGTTAGAGATTTTTGCCGAAGTGGAGAGATGAAAACGACACACCTTCTCGGTTATTATTCCCCAAATTTATGCCACTCTGTTACAACAACAAGTAGGTTCCTTTCAGTTTATGAGCCAGGGCTACATTAGCCCTGTACTATGCATCCAGCACAGCCGATGGAAGCGCTCGAGGACCATAAAAGGAACGTACGACAGAGAACACTTCGAAGCCCGCGTTCTCCTGTCTGCTGATGCGCGGATATGAAATACATTTTTAAGAAGAACGTTTGTATGTAAAAAATAATAATTAGTTTCGAGTTCATAACGTTTTAAAGCAAAATGTCAAATTTCACAATTCTGTCGAGGTGCGAGTAGTTACAGAAAATCAAAACTCTTTTCAGGCGAACGGATCCCCAAACAGGACGGGGTGAGTCATCTTGCCCTGGGTACGTGTTCTTTGACGCTAGTCGTTGCTGCGTTCACGGTCTTGTGTTATTTTTCAGTTTTTCTGCCGTATTGGAAAAGCTACGTCGGGAGTAATATTTTTAACACACGAGATACGAGGTAAATATGGTGAGGATTACACAGATTACAAAACATAAAACAAAATGCTCTCAGAACAGGAAGCATGGGTTATTTTAATGGAAATTTACTGCATTTATTTGAAGTCCAAATGTCCAAACTAAGTGTCACTCTGCAATTCCTTGATGAAGAAGCAGCAAGTTTTGAGAGATGGGCCACTTTGTCTTGTCACTCAAAAACATAAAAAAAAAAGTCTATAATTTTTTTTACAATTTACTTTTATGAATAAAAACAAAATACAATTATAGCAAGATAAATGGAGGGAAAAAAATGAAATTTTGAAGGGAAGTAAGATAATAGCTTCTGGGTGTTGAAAGGGAAATAAATAAGAATCTGCATTTGTCATGATGTAACCACAAACAGCAGGCATATGGAAGTAGGTGCACATTAAGAAATATTCGAAATGTTTCTTTCCTTATGTGCAAGTCCTTTCCATAAAACCCTCCAAAAATAAACTGATTTGAAAACATTTATGAAAATGTTTTTCATAAAAGAGTGATGACCTCTGTGTAAAGGTATGGATGTGTGTATTTACAGTGCTGACACACACACAGAGCTTGTTTCAAGGCTTTATTTCTAATGTTCATACCAAAAACAGCAGTTTCTAAACTCAAACGTGGCTCCTCTACCACTATTAGGAAAAAAATATATTATCATACACACACTTTAAAATGGTAGAAAATCTTCTGTCATCAAAGCAGTAGTTAATCTAGAAGTTTATATCTTCAGCACACAATTATCATGTTTCTATGTAGAGCGATCTGCAGATCTGAGTCCAACCCAGGCTGACTACCTATCCTTGTTGCTACGGAGATCAGTCGTCAGCGGGTCGTGCTGGATGGTCTGGTGCAACATCAGAGCCAGCAGACCGGCCCTGTTGGTCATTGCGGTCCTGACGTTTCGCTCCTGCTCAAATAGCTCGTCCAGCTTGTACCACTGTGGGAACAGAAGAGGAGAGGTCATTATAACCTGCTGAGACCTTTAGCTAATGCGGCTTCCATGGCAACAGAGTGCCTCAAGATGGCCTTACCACTCTGACCCGCTCCAAGTCCACCTCAGCCCTCCTCAGCTTTTCCCAGTTGTAATGTTTGTTGCATTTCCTTTTGGACACCCTGCAGTAGTCTCCTGTCGGCTCAAACACGTTCTTCACTAGAGGGCAACCGCACACCTCGTCTACCGGCACCTGGAGGGCAAACACGAAAAACGATCACAATATTCACATTAATGTTATATGTGGTGAGTTGTGGGCATCATTAACTAAAAAGTTACACCCTAAAACACTAAACAGTTACACTAAGCGTTCTGCCATCATGGTAATTAGCAGTAGCTAATGCTAAAACACTACATCATCACTGTAGTGCTTTAGCAAAGTGTAGTTATGGTAGTTAGCAGAAGCTAATGCTAAAGCACTACCTGTGCAGTATTTAGTTGACGTTATTGCTAAACTGCTACATCATCACAATATTTAGCAGATGCTAATGCTAAAGTTCTACACCATAATTAGCATATGCTAATGTGAGTGTGCTAATTTTGATTCAAATTACATCTGCACTTGAAAGACTACACTTTAACTAAGCTCCACTTTAATTTTGACATAATTTACATATTCTAAAACTTATCTTTCCATCTTGTTCTATTCAAGAACACTATAAGGGCTAAAAGAAAAATGAGCTCTGCTGTTTGCACATCAGCGGAAGCGAGTCCAGCACTGAATACGGTTCAGCAGAGATGCGTGGAAGCTTTTCCACAGGCGCACACACCTTTGGATCTCTGGAATGTTCTGGACACAGAACCTGCAGCCTCTTGCAGTAGGTCTTGCTCTGGGGGTTGTACACGTCACAGAAGAGTCTGGTGGCACTGAGGAGGAAATTAATAAAAATAAACGGCGTGGTGCAAAAAGGGCTAAATTCTTCACTAAAACTTTGAAGCATCCTTTTACTCTTACCCCTCTATCCTTGTTGGATACATGGAACCAAAGGACGTCTGGCTCTCGTACTGTGGAGTAAAATCGTTTCAGAAACGGATGTTTAGAGGTAGAAATGGCTGCGAGCGACTCGAACCGCATTCTGGCCGTGAGGAGGCGGAATCACCTTGGCGTAGCATCTCTCCATGTGTCTCAGCGCCACTTTCGGATTAATGGGATGACCGCAGGACACGCAGAAAATCTGGAGATCTGTGTCATCGCCCTCACCTTCGTTCACCTGCAAACAAGCCGTTCCTCTGTTAGCGCTTTGCTTTTTCACAAATGTGTAGCAAAGAAAAAAAAAACTGGCGAGATATGGGTTGTCACCTCCTCGTCCTGCTGAACCGCCTGCTGCTTGGCCTTGGCGATGATGCCCTCCAGCTCGTGGAAGCGCCGCTCCATGTCGGTGAGGCGGAGCCGGGCGTTCTGCTGGTCCCGGCGGATGCGCTCCAGCTGCTTCTTGCCGTGCTCCTCGGCGATGCAGGGACTCTGTTGCCACTGCTGGATCCGCTGAGGGAGGATCTCGTAGATCCGGCTGCAGGTCCGGGGCGGGGAGGGGGGAGAAGCTTAAATTATAGCAATTATGGTAAAAGAAGCTCACATTTCTGATCTTGTCCTCAGAAATTAAATAAAAGTTCAGATCAATTTTGCCATATTACTCACATACAGTCAGTCAAACAGTATTTCTTCTATGGGTGCAACAATAAATCTGCCCCAATATCCTTAATTTTTGGCAATCGGTCGATGCATGCAAAACCGACATTATCTACCGCAGCAAAGGGCTTTGTTTCTTTATTTAGCAACTTCAATTTCATATGCAAAAAAAAAAAAAAAAAGGAAATAAAAATTGGCTTTGGACCGATTCTATTGATCTAAACTTCTGGTTTTAATGAGGTGTGCAGCAATAAATTAGCACAAATGTCATTAATTTTGGGAATTCAGCCAATAATTAGATATTATATAACTGATCAACTCCGTCGCTATATTTAGCAACCTTTCAGAGAAAAAAATAAATTAGAATCTGCATTTGAGGTTGATTTTTGGGTTGTAATTTTTAAGAATCGGTAATCGGCCAGGAAACTGCAATCGGTTCCCCTCTCCGTTCAACTGTGCCTAATATACACAAGTTTGCTGTTCTAATGTGATAAAAACAAATAAACAAACAACTTAAAAGTAAAAAATCAACATGGTGGTGTGTTGGTTGGTAGGAGGCATTACTTGGCTGCCAGCTTCATGCCGCAGTCCTCGGAGCAGTACTTGGAGTTGGGCCTGGCTCCTTTCACACAGTTGGGCCCCAGACACTGACGCATCCCCCCGCTGTCCCGCAGATCCCCCCGCTCGCTGTGCCGGTTTTTGTCCCTGTGCTTCTGCTTCTGCTTGTGGCGCCGCGATTCTTTCTGAACAGTCAGAGGGAGACGCGTCAAAGGCGGCGCGGCTCAATGTCGTCGCAGTCGTCTCGCGCGAGGGAAGGCTCACCTTTTTCTCGATCTTCTTTTCCCGCCTCTTTACATGCTTCACCTTGATGGCTTTCTTCCGCATGACAGGGCTGAAGGCCGGCTCGTCGTCGTCATCGCTCCCCCACGCCTGCACGGACGGATCGGATGAGTTTCAGGAATCCAGAACGAGCGGCGGGTTGAAGCGAGACAGACTCACCAAGTCGCCACCGAGTCCCGCCGCCCTGTACTGCTGGTAGAGCTCCACCTCGCTGTCGTAATCCTCGGAGTACCGTCTTCTTCTGTGGTGGGAGTTCTCCCTCCTCTCACGCAAGGAGAGCTCCTCCTCCTTTACGCGCAGCATTTTCTGTGGGGGGGACACAATTTCGCACAATTTCTAGGATACGGTTTCTGTCGATCGGTAAAGAAGAGGGGAAATGGCGGCAATGGGCGACTTTTCCCACAGTCAAATTCAAGCATTTTCAAGGTATCAAAACTTTTCCAGCACCTGCACACTTTAGCGATTAAAAACAATATAAATGAACTCAAGAAAACTGTTTTTATGTCGTTTGTTATGCAGGCCTTTCACAATAACAAATTTAGCTGGACAATAAATTGTCCCAGAAGTTTTTTGCGATAAACAATATCGTCGCTTTGAGACTGTTTTCAAGCAGCTGAATGCTAACGGCTTCATAATAATAACAACACAAGAAAACGAGATAAATAATCTTTGAATTCAAATAAAAATTTAACACCGGAAGTGGAGGACATTTTAAATATCCAACATTAATAAACAAAACAACAAATAAAATGAATTACGAAGTCTCTATAAGCAAAATCATCCTTCAAAAAAAAAATGGCTAGACTGAAGAGCTTTTGTCCGGTAGAAAGAGCAAATGATAAATCATCCAAATGGAAAATATTGATTTTTGTTTCAATTCATTATGCCAGTAATTTATTTATTGCGACAGACTGTTATTTACTAAATGTTGTGAAGCTATTCTACAATCTACAGCAGAAACAAGATCAATTAAAACGTAAGAAAATTTTATGTTTTAATATAGCTCTCTCTCACACACAATCAGGTTTGAGAGAGTTTGAAAAAAAACATCTAAGAAAATTTTTGGCTTTCAAATCAAACATTAGATTGTGCCTAAACTGTGTGTGGTTTTATTGTCAAGAGCTTCACA